ATATATAATTATATATACAGTACCTAATTTATATATAATTAATATATAATTATATGTACAGTACCTAATTTATATATAATTTATATATAATACTAAACAGACGATAGCAAACCCAATTTAGCCGCTCCGTAGCGTGGCGCAGGGTCGGAGGTAAGTAGTTCGGCTGCTCATCCACTATTGGTCCAGACTCTATCAATCTTGTCGCGAAACGACGTTATAGGAGGTACGTTATACGAAAGTTTCTACAAATTTTTCGATACGTTATAGGAATTGTCGTTATAGGAACGTACGTTATAGGGGGGTCGACTGTAATAGAACGTCACGCGGTCACTACGCGACCTTTTCAAAGGCTATCGTAGAAGCGACACGACCAGGCTATTACTTTAAAAATTACCAAAATATTTATTTGTAGTAAATTTCGAACGCGATTTTATTCCCGGTAAACTGTATTCGAGTAAAATATCGTTGAAAATTTAAAATATTTACAAAAATGGACGTTTCTTTCAACGGAAATTACAGACGGCGCCACTGGATTTCTTCCGATTTGAAAAATGTTCCGTTAAAATCGAACGGCCGAAAGACGTTTGACTCGACGACGAGAAGAAAAATGGAATACATTTTCTGTCATTAATTCATTTTGTGAAAGGCCAATTGTTCCGAGGAGAAATCGAAGAAAAGCTGTCGGCCATTTAAAGGTAAAAATTTATATTCGGTTGGTCGGACGCGGTTTTAATTATTTACCGAAAGACAACGGATGTCGGTTGTTGCTGAATTCTTCGATACGCCTACGGAAATAAAAAAATTTGAAATAGAAATATATAGAAAAATTTATAAAATATTTTGGAATTTCGATTGGTAAATTCCAAGTAAAAAGTCGCTGAATGATTATACGAATATGTAGAGGAATCGGTTGCCGATGTTCCGGGATCGATTTCTTTGCCCCAAACACTCGAAGTAATTCCGAAATTCTCGTTCGAAATATAATTGTTTTCTTCGATAATTTGCAAAATGTCTGCATCTATATATATAACCCATTCAACGGGTATCCGTCTGTCCGTCCCGTAACCGTTTGATAAAGGACACTAGAGGCGCCCCTATCGTGTGTGATATTTCAAACATTCAAATTAACAGTTTTAATTCTTATTTAAATTAACCATATAAATTTTTATTATTCGTTTGGCCAATAAATTATTATTTGGTCAATATAAATAATTCAGTATATTTGTAATAGGAATTTATTATTTCAGGGGCTTATATTTCTCGAAGGGTCGCGAGTAGGGGTATGGTTCCTTTGACTTTATTGTTAGTTCAGGGGTCTACGGTTTGCGGGGGTTCGCCACCTCTTCAATGAATCTAATTTAATTGTGTACGCAAAAAATGAGCTAGTGTTAAAAAAAACAATAGTGCTACTCTAAACGCACCTAAGTTAGTGACTTTTGCCCAGTACGAAGATGTATTTTCGTGCAAAATATATATCGAGGGTGTTCAATTTGAAAATATTTCAACAATTTCTTTGCAGCGAGCTGAGGATATTATTGAAAATGCATATAAGTTGAAAATATGCAATGGTGCTACAATACAGACAGAACTAGAATCAAACATTTTGTTTGGTTTTAAAAATATGAAAAATTTTGTAGCTTTTTTAGTAAATATGAATAAACGTTATTAAGTAGATTACTCTTGTACTCTAAATAATACTTGTTCGTACAGTACTCGACAGTTGTGATGTAAAAAACACAATAAAGTGTAGGCTATTTGATTTAAAAAGAATCTTAATTAGCATTAATCGAGTTCCTTCACGTATAAATGTTAATAAAATAGTACTATTGTAAATAATAGATTATATCAAATAATAAAGTAATGATATAAATTGATTGCTCGAGATATGATTTATTATCGATCTAAATTCTTTTACTTAACTACAGCATTACTCTGTTTAAAAATCCCACATAAAACCAATATAAACGTAGGATGATACAGCCAGTGTAGCGCAACGATTTTCAGCAGCGCCTCTTGCCGTAACCTCCAATAAAGGGACAGCAAATGAGCTCGATTCCGATAATATTTTCTAGCTATTTTATTGTACAGTTATTTATATTTAAAATGATTATTTGTAGTGTCGATTCGAAGAAGAAAATCTCTTTGACGATTATATTAGAAAGGAAAAAAGAAGGAAGATTTCCTCGGAAGCCGAAGACGATTTCTCGGGTAACATTTCGCGAAATATCGAATGGCCCTAGATTTTGGCTTGTGGAGTGGTAAAGATTATTGAAAGTGCTCTAAGTCTCTTCGTCGACTGAAGTTTCTTGAGTTAATGTTGACGAACGTAGATAATTCTGTCATTTTTTCTCCAGCATTTTTCAAATCACAATTTTCGAGAAAAGGTTAGAAATTATTGAAGAATTTGAAATTATAAAAACAATCGAAGATGTAAATACGAAAATGAAAGGAAAGGATCTCCGTAAAATACGGTATTATCTGATCTACTTATTTCTAAACATTTACATAAAACTATTTAAAGGTCGTATTAATAATTAATATTATTTTATCAATGTCTTTCATACGTATTCCTACAGAAGAAAATTAATTCCAATTCGTTTATTTTTTAGATTTCGAACCCGGCTTTAATTTTATGGCGTGACGTGTCCAAGAAAGAATTTCTAAAATTATTTCAATTGTTATATAAAATAATGTATGACGTAATTCTCGTATCTGATTTTATTCCGAACTTTGTTATTTTCAGATTCACTTTCAACCAATAAAGAACGTCTTTGTAATAGAGAATTGTTTCCGGGGACACACGAAAACTACTGAAGGATGTGTTCGACTTCTGTCGTTAAAGAAACACTAAAATTGAAGCCAGTGTTAAGAAAATACACAAGAATATAACAACAAAGAAACCATCTTTCCAGCAAATGAAGAAAAAGAGAAAAATTAAGAAGATATTTTAAATTATTTTCGAATATGTTATTTTGCGACATACACTTCACATAAATTGTTTAGAAAAAAATGTATAAATGACATTAATTTGTGACTGTATTGTATTTGTACGCGTTTGGCAATATTTGTGAATACCGGCGTAAGCAGTTTGTGTGTGATCTAAGGTGTGATGTGATGTGATCCAGTTAATTGTAAGGTTTAAATTTTAGTTTAAAGAAATTTGATAGAAGGAAAAGTCTTTTTGTATCTGCACTCAAAACTTTAACAGTTCTTTAGAATTAGTACGCTTAAATTTAAACATTTGATTGACAATAAATTGAAGGGAGTTTTGATCATTAAGTTTTAAAATTTCTGATATTTTACAGGTTTAAACCTCCAGAAGAGAAAGAATGGGAAGTATCGATGTGACAGTTGCGAGAAAGAGTTCGCTTCGAAGTATAATTTAAAATATCATCAAACGATTCACACTGGAGAAGGGCTATTGTCTTGCAAATTTTGTACTTGTCAGTTCAAGTATGCCGGCAGTCTACAATACCACGTCAAGACTCACACGGGGGAGAAACCTTTCGCTTGTGACTATTGCAAACGAAGTTTCACAAGCAAAAATGTCTTAGTTGGACATCTGCGTACTCATACAGGGGAGAAACCCTTTACGTGTGATCAATGCAAACGAAGTTTTACACTGAAAAAAAGTCTGATTCGACATCTGCGAACTCACACAGGGGAGAAACCTTTCACTTGTGACCACTGCAAACGAAGTTTCACATACAAACATGTTTTGATTGATCATCTGCGTACTCACACAGGGGAGAAACCCTTTACCTGTGACCATTGCAAACGAAGTTTTTCACAGAAAAGTAATCTGATTCGACATCTGCGAACTCATTCGGAGTAAAAGCCGTTATCGTGTACTTATTGCTTACAAAAGTTCCGTTTTAAACGTAATTTAAATTATCATATTATTAAATATCGTAATGATAATGAATAACAGTATTTGTTACGAAGAAAATGTTAACAAAAGTATTTTTTCTTATTTATATTCGTATTTAGATTTTATTTAACATTAAAACAAGAAATGTTTGAAGTTTTATTTTTTTCATTTTGTAATTTTCATATTGTATATAAAGCAATTGAGTTTTCATACGAAACAGAACGGTTTCATTAATTAAAAAATAATTCTACAAAGTTGAATTAACACAGTGTATTTTTATTAGTTTAAGTGCGAGTGTCATTTATTTAGGTTCTATAACATCTCTATTAATCACGAATAATTCGTTTATTGTTGTTAGAATAGGTGTATTCAGAAACATGAGAAGTTTTAATCGTGTTTACTCGGTGATCAGTTATCATTACTCGCTTTAGCAACTGATCCGAAAGCGATTACAATAAGTGCATTTCATTGTAAACGTAAAAAGTGTGATTTGCAGCCATTCTTCCTCCAATCTGCTGGATTGGAGGAAGAATTAGAAGCTGCAACTTTTAAATCGGCACGAAACGATCGGCATAATATTACTGTTTAAATCTGTTGAAGTTTACCGTGTACCCGGCTTGGTAAATCCGAATTAGCGATTGGTCTAAAGCATTCTTCGTAGGTCTTCCAAATAAATGCGTAGCGAGTGAAGATAGATTCGAATGTGAAGTAACGCTATATGCAATTGTGGTAGATATCCGAATCGCCCGCTTTACATCAGTTTAACAGTAGTTCGGCATTCTGCACCCCTCTCTCCGCTAATCCGATGGACTAATATAATTAGCTGATTCAAAGTTTGATGAGTGAATTCCCACGCTTTAGAAAACGAACGAAACCGCGACTAGCAGTACTCTGGTCCATTACGAGTTACCCTTTCCACGCGTTTGAATATCACACGTAGTACATTGTTAACGTAGTCGATGTCGTCGGCTGTCGTATTTGGACAGAAAACTGCTTTTCTAGCGCACGACTTTTGTGCATTCTTTGCAAATATTTCTTAGGTAACCAGACAGGTATACCCGGTCGGTCATTCTTTACAACAATGCCATCATAATACGAGAGTTCGTCTTTATAAGAAGAGGACATGTTAGACGAATGCTTACGGACATTCCAGGAAGCAAAATATCATTAGAAAAGCTGACTCATCGCGTAACACGCGTGCACAGACCCGTCCCGGAAAAATTACGTAACAACTTTCGAGCGGTCTCTGCCACTCGGGGAAAAATCTGACCTCCTCAAACAGTAACTGCGAGGAACGGATATGATTCGAAGCTACCGAGTTGCTAGTCCTTATCAGCACACACAATTTGAAAAATCGATACGGTCCCAATGATCAGCTTAATGCGTCAGTTCTTAATAGTTAAGTTGATCGCTAATTTTCAATGAGATTCGTCCGCCTGATTAAAGAATGAATAAAATAATTTACAATTAATTAAAATTCATTATAAAAATACACTACTTATTTTTTTTCTTTTAAAACGGCCGTTGGTTGCGTCCAAACGATACAAGCGCGACATTCGAGTATAGAAATGCAAACCGTGTCTTTATTATAATTATTAAACAGAATGAAAGTTGTTTCTTAATAAGCCGAGTCTTTTAGGAAGAAATGGAAGGAAGCGTGACGTAGCAAGTATTGAAACAGTGTCACGTTTCTTTGTTGAAGTTTCTTAATTAATGTTTTCGCACTTTATTTTTCATATTTCTTCTATGTGTTGATTATTGCTGAAACAGCGCAAATCATTGGGTTGGGTAATTTCTCTGTTAGATTTTCTTGCCAGAATTAAAGTCATTCGAAAAATCCTCACTGTATTTTTTAACGGGACCCCTTTCATAGCAATGTAAAAGAAAAAAAAGTAATGAATGTAGATGTAGGTAATATTTTCAAGTAACGAATTTGGATAAACTAATAAGATTATTGTTACAGAAACTTCTTTAACAGATTTTTTCTATGTTGGAAACCTTTTTTCCAGTCTGTTTTTTTGCATAACAAAAGCTCTTATCATTAGAAATAAACTTCAGAATTATTATTACTTCTTAAATTAATTTAAGAACTATTAATTAATTAAATGTAATTAAAACTGCAAGATGAAATCATAAGAAAAGTTTTTCAAATATGGTGAATGTTTAATATTCACCTTGTTAATTAAAGAGAAATAACACACAAAGACATTGCTTCAATTGTTATTATTGTCGTTACGATGAATTAGATGTACACAAATGGTTAGTAGTGTACTTCTTATGCTTCGAGTACAGGCGATTTTAAAGTTTTTATGGCAAATCTCTTTAATAACAAAGTGTTTGTTTGTTCTTTCCAATTTATATACACTAGAGCGTCGATTATCCGAAAGTCAATTATCCGAAAGAATTCCAGTTGGCAAATTTAAGTTTTTGCCAGTGCTGTGGCGCTGCAATCTTTGGCCATGTCTTGGGCTACTCAAATATTTTACGTTTTTGATACTAAATTAACTTCTGAAGTATAATTTTTTATTGTTTTTATATTTTCCAATATATTTATTTTATTTGTACAAAATAAAAAAATAATTTTTAACAATACAATAGTCTTCGTTAGGCTTAACATCGACGAAAATTCAACGCGAAGCGACACGCAACGGAGAAAAATTTCAACATCGGATACGTTAATATATTTTTTCGCACATAATCGGTTATCCGAAATATCAGTTATACGAACAAGCCCAGTCCCCAATTGATTCGGAAAATCGACGCTCTACTGTATATTTTTTTCATCTGTTTGTTTAGTGTTAAAATAATTAAAATTCTTCATATTCATAACGACTTTCAAACCTTATTTGCACATATTACTATTGGAATATAGACAATAGACGTTATTTGTAACTTGAGTGTGATATACATTCAATTATAGGAGTACAGTAGAGCATCGATTATCCGACTCAATTGGGGACTGGGGTTGGTCGGATAACTGAAAAAAACGGATAACCGAAAAATATGAAAAATACATTATTACTATAGTATACTAGTATATACCATATAATTAGTATATTAGTATATCGCTATTAACCTACTTCAAGTTGAATTTTCATCGATGTTAAGCCTAACAAGATTTTTTAAAAATAATCATCGTCGCTATTGTATCGTTAAAAATTAGAAAATTAAGCCTCGTTTAAATACCGGCTCCCTTTCATGGTCGAGTCAGTGTTGAAAGCTAAAACACGTAAAAATAATATTAAAGTAGCCAAGACATAGCCAAATATTGTAGCGCCACATCACTAACGGATATTTGAATTTGCCGACTAGAACGCAGTCGGTTAACCGATGTGAAGGTTGATCGGTTGTCGGATAATCGATGCTTTACTGTATATCTAGTGTATTTGACAATGAAATTTTGCTGTTAAGCGATTATTACATAAAAAAGGGTTATTTTCATTTTTTCAATACAGCTTGATCAAGTATGCGTTTATAAGGTTTTGTTATTTGGGCATTAACCACGTAGCATTCACGTTTGAATTTACCTGATGCAATTCGGAATGTATAACATAGGTTTCTCTAGGGTATTGTTTTATGCTTCGTAATAAGTATGGATGCACCTATTAATCGGTAAGTAATCGGTAATCGGCCATATCTGTCATTTTCCCGATTAATCGTTATTGGCCATTTCCCCGATTAATCGGTTTTAATAATCGGCCAATTTTGCATTTTAATATTTTTGTTAGAATGTCACGTATAAGGTTATATCGGCCATTTTCTGTTACTACATCAAATAAATTAGAAAAACGCAGAGATTACCCTCCCTCTTGATCGTCTCCAGAAGTAGAAGCTTCAGAATTTAATTTTTCTTGAGATTTTGAATTATCAACATCATCTAACTTGTAAGCTATCGATTGTCCATTTTTTATTTCCTCTACCCTCTTTCTTTTTGAAATCTAATTTTAAATCTTTGATCTAATAAGGATGAAAATCATAAAGACTTGTTTTCTATATATGCTGAAAATCCTTTTATATTGAATTTTCTAGTCCTTCTATTGTGGTATTAATGCCACTAAAGGAACTGCTCTTTACTTTTCACAATAAGAATATTGATAATTTCAGAGTCTCTATTGTGTGAATTATTGAAGATGAGGTGGTTTCTCCGTTGCTGGTTTCCACAGTAATTTCTTCGAATAGTAGAACAATTTTTTCAACGACAGACCACTGATATGTGCTCAACATGGGAATTTTATCTATAGCATATATGCACAAGGGCTTTTTGCTGTTCCAAGTTTCATTGCAACATGTAGTAAGTAGAATTCGAGCGAGTAGGAACATCTTGAATTAATTTGTGTTTCTTCAAACCTAACTTGTCTGGCAAATCTTCCAATTTGCTTACAGCTACAGCAGAATGATTAAAATGTGTGACAATATTTCTATTAACTGTAATTATAGTTTTCACATCTTGTTGAGAAAATATGCATTAGTCTAGTGTCAGCTGCAGTGTACGTGTAAAGCATGATAATACCTCTAAGTTGCAATTCCTGATTCCAGCTACCATATTTGCTGCGGAATCTCTCAGTATTAAG